TTTGACTTTGGTAGCTACAATATCCAGCGAGATTTCTGACAAGTTTTGCCAATTTATTATTACAGTAGTTATCGGTACTTTATTATCGTCGGCTGATTTACCGAATCAGGCGAGTACCTCAGGATGGATCTTGTACCTCCAAACATATGATATTACTTGATCGTTTTTTTTATGATTAAAATTGTTACATGTTTAAATATATTGAGCTAAATATATTGAGTTGTTAAACGTTCACCTGTTTTTATCTTATGTGTGTTATGAGTTGTTGAGTTCAGCCCGAGTTCCATAAAGAGGAACAACCCCTAGTCCAGATAAGCTATCTAATCAAATCCAGAGTTCGATAATTGAATAATTATTTGGGTGTTCCTTTTAATTCTTAACCAATACATACATAACTGTGGAATATATATTCCATCCTCATCAGGCATACCTTCCTCTTCTGTCAAAAGACACTCCAAGCACTTTTGCGAAGCCCCGGCGAACCTACCCCCGAGTAAGGACTGTAGGTGCCCATTATCAGTTTGCCATACCATTTCCTTAACCCGCTCACACTATTCATCACGGGGGAAAAAATCTTTTATTTTTAAACCTATTATTTTATTTTTTTTCTTTTTCCTATTTTTTGTCACGGTGTGAGTGGATAAGCTATAAGGACCTTATCCCCTGACTGTGACTGATGAAAGTCGCTGCCTTTACACTTACAGTGTACCCCCCGTTGATGACTAAAGCCCTTTTGGCCACTACATTGTTATTTAGTGACAGCAGTTACTTTCTAAGTGACGGTGGTTGTTACAACTGTAATAACCGGGATGTCTAAAGGACCAACGCTCGTCACTAAATGTAACAAACAACTTGCCTAAAACCATTTGTAACTACTGATAGGTCTTCAGCTACTGTTGTTAATATACTATTAAGGGATTAAGGCAGCACCCTCACCAGCCAAAGGGTCCTGGAGTCCAGAAGGAACGTCCATTCACCAGTAGCAAATAAAAATAATAAAAAAATTAAATTAAAAGAACAAAAATTATCCCTTAATAGCATAGTCGAGCGGTTCTTGGCCACTACTTTTAGACTCTTTTATTCCTAAGGGAATAGAAACGCCGAGGCTTGTTAAATGCTCCGAATATTTTACTGGTTTGAAAAGAGGGGAGAAATTAATAATAAGTATTAAAACATTAACAAATGTATATTTACAATAATTAAAAAATTTGAGTAACAGTCTTAAGAAAAAATAAATAAAATTACATTTAGGGAATACAGCACTACAAAACGTTAACTACATAATATAAAAATATGTATAAGGTATATATGATAATTTGGGATGAAAATGTAAAATTGGCATTTATATGTAAATCAGTTAATTATTATCAACCAAAACACCTTAAAAATAAGTTAAAGATATTTATCCATAATTCACAAATCGTACACAAAACTTTACACATTACATTGTTCTGGCACTTAAAGAGTCCCAAAAAAACGAGAGCTTTCGCCCTCTCGACCTTAGTCCGAACTCGACTGAGCTTTTACTCCTCCATATATAATTATTAAAATTAATAAATATTATTAACATTATTGTTTTAGTAATTTAATAAAAATATTGGTTTTGAAGATCAAATTTAAGATATTCTTCTAAAACTTCAGATGTAGAAAATATTCTCTTCAAAATTAAAATTTTAAAATAAAACTAATATCTGATATTACCTTAATTATACCCTTATTATTTATAAATAATTTAATTTTTATTTTCTTAAGCCATCCATTAACTTGCAGAATAATTTTATTAGTCCAAACAATTTTAAAAGCATTTTTATCAGGAATAATAAATTATAATTTTTGATATTCATATATTTTATTTTTAATTATAGTAGGAGGAATATTAATTTTATTTATTTATATAACATGTAACATATAATAAAATTAGATTCAAAAATTCGTAGGAATAGTTGACAGAAGCAATTTTTCATTTTATTTATATAATTTTAACAGAACTATAAGAGGATTTTGAGCCACAGTGCACATTCGATTTTCTTTGTTAAACTAAACGAATACGAACAGCAATTTAGCCTGACATTTATATGTATTTTAAAACATTATATTCGTCAGTGCAGAGTTGGATATTCGATACAAAGAAACCGAAATGACGCGACGATTAATCATATCGCCGGTAGGATTTTAAATGGCACGAAGGAACCTTTTTGCGAAAGGATCAATCAACTACTTATTTACGCCAAATTATCCTGCCATTTGTCAAACTGAATGTGGAGTTTTGCATAAAGGTTGCGATAAAATCTTGATCGGAAATTAAGAGAGTGGATTTGTGACTTCATATAAAAGTCATTTTGTCGGATGCGTGTATATGTCCCAGGGGTAAAGAATCGAGGATTGCATCGAACGGATATTTGGAAAAAAATAGATTTCCGTTAGAGAAGTGAGTGTTAATTTTTGCTTAATGCCTAAAATTGGAATTTTTGCGCTCGGCTTGCATCAGTAAAATGGATTTTAAAATAAATACAGAGGTTCTTAGAATTTTGTTACAGAAGGACTATCGGCCAAAGTCAAACTTACTTGAATGACAGAAACTTAAGCAATTACAGCGTGATTTTTTAAAACTTAGATTCGGCTAAGACTATACTTCTCTCCTATCTCAGTTGAAACGAGGTTCAAAAAAAATAATTAAGGTAAAACTAGATTAATTTAAATTATTTTTTGTTAGTGAATATTGTTTTTAAAGTTTTTGTGACGTATATGGAGATCCAACAATTTAGCTTAGTAATAATGGCATACCCTCAAACCTTTTAGGAAATACAAATTAAGTAAATTTGTCATGTTAAAAAATAAAAATGTCGTTTTTTTTTTTTTTTTTTTTAGAAACTGCTTTTTAGCACAAGAGGGCAGTATAGGCCCACTTCGACCTTTTCAGATATATTGCGGATATCCTTTTATTATTTGTTCGTCTAGTTTAATCCATTCTAATAGACTAATTGCTCTTGGTTTTTCTCGATGTGCAATGCATCTCAGTCTTGATAGACTCTCGCAGTAGAACAACATATTTACTGCAGTTTCCCCCCCTTTTAGACAGAATCAACAAGAGGTCTCTTCTGCCAGGCCCATGTCATGCATATTATGTCTGTTAGGCCTACAATTTCTTGTTAATAAGCCTACTAGTCTAGCCTACTGGTACTCTAGAATTTTTCCCATTCTAATTTGTTAAATGCTCGGTGAGGATTGGTGATGGGTCTTTTATGAAATCTCTCGTCTGGTAAATTGTTTCACCATACCTTAAGGTGCGTACAGACATGTAACAAAACTTCGTATCGTAACTCCGTCGCGTAACAAGTCTGGACGGCACTGCGTAACATCGTAACTCCGTAACATGGTAACATTGAGGCGTTCCATCGGCTGTCGGTTTTTTGACGCCGCATCAAAGAAATGATACGCACTGATGTTGCACCACTTGTTATGATGTGTGGACGGGTTTGCGGTACACAGTCGCGATTTAGTTTTCATTCGTTTATTCACTTGAAGACATCAATATGGAGTGGACGGAAGAATCTACAATTAATTTTATAAACAGTTACCGTACTAAAGAAATTTTGTGGGATACAAAAAATCCCAAATATTACAATAAAATAAAGAAGCATGATGCTTGGGGAAGATTTTGCTGTAGAGTTTCGGACAACAGCAGATGAATGCAAAAAAAATGAATGGTCTTCTGTCAGCACTTAGGCGAGAGAAAGCCAAAATTAAAAAGAGCCATGGTACGGGTAAAGGTAAGTTTGAATAAGTGAATTTTAATTTCTTTTCTATATTTGTTTTTTTACTTTTCAATAACAAATTTTATTTTTATTTATTACAGGGCTCACAGATGTCTACGAAAGTACTTGGTTTGCCTTTAAAAGTTTGGTATTCCTGTGGGACAAAAACAAGGTCCGGGAAACACAAAGCACCGTAAGTAATGAATTACGAATAATTATCCTGCCACAAAAGTCGATTTTCATTTTGAAAGTACGATGACAATTCCTCTCTAATTTGTGTTGCATTTTCGGTTGGTCTTCTGGGAATATTTGTAAATGGAAGTAGTGAAGATATGGGTTCATTACTTATACTTATATAGGTTTCTTCTACAAGCTTTCCATTAATTTCTCTATCGAAGGTTCCATGTGGCGTATACAAAGGACGAGATGTGGAACTTTCTCTTAAAAAATTATGTAGATGAGCTACTGCCATTATAACTAATTCAGCTTTTCTGGGTTCAAGTAACATCGGTTTACAAAATATTCTAAAAACGGCTGAGGCGATACCAAATACATTTTCTACAATTCTTCGTGCGCGAGATAATCTGTTGTTAAACACTCTTTGCAATGATCCTTTAGGATGAATTCCCGAAAACGGTTTCATTAACGAATCAGTTAAGGCAAATGCCTCGTCTCCAATAAAAAAAGGGAATTTTTCGTTTTCTACTTCGTAAAGCTGCTGGTTCAGGAAAATTTAATTTATTTCGCTCCAATTTTTTGTAAAGCGAGCAATTTTTAAAGATACCACCATCTGAAATTCTTCCTTGGCCTCCAGCATCGACGCACAAAAACTTATAATTAGCATCCACTAGGGCAAAAAGAACTACACTAAATGTTGATTTGTAATTAAAGAATTCGCTTCCGGTGTTTAGTGGTGCTTGTAAAACAACATGTTTCCCATCTAAAGAACCCAGACAATGTGGAAAGTTCCAGATGTCCTCAAACTGTTTTGCCACTTCTAACCATCCCTCTGGTGTTGTCGGTATCTGTAAAAATGTAAACAAATTCCGTTCAATAAACTTGTTACTAAATACTTATTTCAAATTATATTTATTTTAGATTGTAGACGAAGAAGAAGATAATAATAAAAAAGAAATATCGGGTGACGAAGCAACATTAGAAGATAACGATAATTCTGCTGTACAAGGGAATCGGGAGACTATAGAAAATGTACCGAAAAGAAAAGTGATTGAAGCAACACCTAGTATGAAACGCCAAAAGAGAAATGAAGATTCTGAGAAATTTGATAAAGCTTTTGAAATACTGTCACAAGCATCAACAAAAGCAAGTAACACACAGGAGCAAAACGAATGTCACATATTTGGAAACCTTGTGGCTAAAAAACTGGCCAAATATTCTCCTGAATTACAAAGTACTGTACAACAAGATATTATGAATGTTTTGTTTAAAGCAGACAGGATCTATCTCAAACAAAGTTCAACCAATTTTGATCATTCGCAATCATACCGTACTTACACTCTTCAGTCATTATTTCCAAATTCTATGCCACAACAGTCTCAACTCTATGAGGATAGCCAAGTTTCCAACGTTTCGAATTTTACTCTACAGCAATCACAGTTACCATCTCCAGCATACACTTATGCTAGTTCTAGTATTTCAAATTATTCAAGTCGCACTACTCCATTCAATTCTTCAGGACACCAAGCATTGGATATGCCCGATATTTTAGAGAATTTATAGAAAAACATTTGATTTGTTTAATGTGTGTTTACTTCTTTAATTAAACATTTATGAGTTCCTTACCTGTATATTTTCTTTTAATCCTTCTATTATGGCTTCCCACACTTCAGGAACTATAGCACTTATCGATTGTTTAGAAATTTTAAAAAGGTATTGTAGACTGGTGAAATAATCCCCAGTCGCCAGAAACCGAATTGTTACTGCCAACCTTTCTTGGACAGAAATTGCTTCTCTCCATCTAGTATCTTTTCGTGCTATTTTGGGTCCAATTAAATTAATCAAGTACTCGAAGTCTGCTGGGGACATTCTGGTAAAATTTTTAAATTTTTATAAAGTCCACTAATTGCCTGAAATTTTAGATCCAACAGTAAATGATTTCCACCATATACATTTCTGCTAGTATACAACTGGGTCTGCCACCACCGTCTTGCGCGTCTTTTTTTATTTTTCTTAATGAAGTAATGCATATATATATATATATATATATATATATATATATATATATATATATATATATATATATATATATATATATATATATATAAGCTGTTGCAGCAACCTCCATTGTACACAAGGAAAAGACAACTGTATGTTGTAAAGTCGGAACGGCAGTATGCTGCGATTAAAAGATACGCGACGATGTATTGATACACTATATTTGTTGACACGCCGTATCTTCAATGCGTAACAAACACATGTTACGCGACGGAGTTACGATACGAAGTTTTGTTACATGTCTGTACGCACCTTTAGATCTGTTTAGCATCCACTGCTTTCTGAATATTTCGATGACTGTCTTTGTGACAGTAAAGGGGGGTTTTGTGCCAAAAAAAGGCATTTGAGGTTGCTTTTAGGGCTTGTAAAGAGATATTGCATACAGGATAATGTTACTATGTTATCACTACACAACTCCGTTAGGGCATTCAAACAATAATACACAAACGTCAAGTGTACATGCAAGGAACTGAATGCTTTTAACGTACTCATTCTGCTCTCATTTCCCTATGGTGGGTGCCAACCAAATGGACATTGTAACATCTGATAATAATAAAATACAATAATATAATGTTATAATAATCTAATAAATACAATATAATGTAATAATTCAAAAATCTTAAACGGGCAAAGGTAAGTTGAGTTATATCTACCTGAATTAAAATAGAACAAGAAATTTAGATGGTCGAATTGAGTCCCGGGTCAGCTAATCTTTTTTATCCTTCCAATCCTCCTGATATCGGTATTTTGGAAATTCTAAATTACTTTCTAAGTTTCTGTACTAAACGATATTTTAATTATCTATTATCGAAGGATTTCATTGGTCATCTATGGATATCAGATATAAAAAGGGTTTTCAACCTACAAAATGTTTATTATAGTTGCTTAATTTGTATACGATGTTAATTTTTGTTTATCAAAATGAGTTCAGTGAGAGTAGTGGTAATAAGTTAAAGAGGAAAACAACTGATTGTGTAAGATGGCATCAAATATCGTTTTTATAAGATATTAAAAAATAATGCCAAACGTTGGATTTGTCGTGCACAGACAAAAGAAAAATGCAAGGTATTTTAAAAACCGAAAGTGCTGACTACATAGTAACATAAATTATGGATAACCACAATCATAACGAATTGAACGAAAAGGTACTTGATCGCCAATTTTTAAGTAACTCTTTAATGCAAAAGGCCGTGTAAGATACTAGTGAATGCCTGATGAAAAATTTACATAAGGCGAAATGGCGATATTAATAACTTGACAATCGAGGATGTGAAATTGGTCACAAAAATTCTGTATAATGCCCGACGATCTGTTTTGCCTAAATTGCCAAAAAATATGGAAAAAACTCGTAATATTAAAAACATTTGCAGTGAAAAACAACACAGGCGAAGAGTTCCTATTGGTAAACGATATAGAAAATAAAATAATTATGTTTTCCTGCAAGACCAACCTAGAATTTTTAGCAGATTTAGATACTATCTATATAGATGGACTTTTTAATACTGTTCGAAGTTCTTTCAGCAAATGATCTCCGTTCATGGTCTAAAAGAAGACCGTTACATACCATTGGTTTTCTTTTTATTGCCAAATAAACAAAAAAATACATGCAGACTGGCACTGAAACATCTGGTTGAAGAAATTGGCAAATGCAATACAATACTTACTTTAAGAACAGTATTTGCTGATTTTAAAGAAGCAATTTAGCAAAATCTCACTGAGGTTTGGAGTGATCTTTCATTGATTCCATTTGGGACAGTCTTGCTAAGTACTTATATTTGATATTAAATACTTTACAAATCTTAGATAAAATAAATTTAAAAAAATCCACATAAACCACACTGGGCAATGTCTTGTTCTCCTAAAATTATTATGAACATGAAAAGCAAGAAAGTTCTACAAAGTTTATATAATTACAACATTTTTGCTAAAAGTGACTTCATTTGGGAAATTTAAATTACAACGTAAAATATCCAAAAAAAATGAATATTCCTTTTTTTCAGGTGGCGCAAAATTTAAGCACTAAATTTATCATCCTTTTACAAGGACAAAGACAGCGATGTTGGTAAATATTTAGCGTACTGCTTTGCAATGCAACGCAGAAGATGTAGGAGATTGTTTTGTTAAAGATTTATCTTCAATACAACCACAAAATCCCAGAGTAGTGCAATTTGCGGACTATATGGTCGATAATTATATATAATAATCAGCTTGGTTTCTACCAGAAATATGGGCGGAAAAGACGAGCAGTATACAATGGACGACGAATGCATGCGAGAGCTTTTATGCAAGATTTAACTCATCATTTTACTTTGCCCATTCACATATATTTCAATTTTTAACCGTTTTATAAGATTTCCAAAGTGAGACTTATATAAAAATTAAAAGCATTAAAAAAAATGTAAAAAAAATATTCTTCGCAAACCTTAAAAAATAAAAAATTTCTAGATAAACAAATTTTAAAATTAAATTGTAACTCATTTGAATTTCTTAAAATTATAGGCGAGAAATAAACAAAAATGTAGTAATTGTATTATTTTTAAGGGATGTCGCATTTATGTTTAATAAATATAGAATAGATCTATATTGTAACGCTACATTATTAGGTAGATATTTCATAATTATCGGGCTTGTGATCATTTAACAACAGGTCATAATATTATCGAATCTCTAGATAAAACTGTTCATTCTGCAACAACTTTTTTGCTGGATCTCTCGGGACTAAAGTAAGCAAAGTGTCCAAGATATAATACACGTTCCACCACTTCCTCAGATTCAATTAGTAACTATCAGAAAGCATAGCGTCGAGAAGTCAGTAAAGCGTGACATATTTGGAACCACAACCGTTCGAGAGTTGGAGCGACCGTATTCTGTAGTCGAGAGTTGCCAACGTGCTGTTAGGCCTGAGTAAGCCGAAACGGAGACACTTTGCAGATTTAACGGAGGGTGTCTGTCGATAATAAATGATGCTTCTTCAGTGCCACGCCAGTCTGTGCTAGAATGTGAATATTGAGACCGGCATAATTGGCCCAACTGTCGGATTTGACGATCTCTGATCGTTTACGAAAAATATCAATTCCCAGCGGCGATGGCGAGGGCAAGATAATTTGCAAGATCTGGTCTAGTTATCGTCGGCTTGATTCGCAAAATCCACATTTAGGTGAAAATAAAAATTTGATGTCATTCGATGTATATAAATATAGCGCATCTGAAGGAATAGTCCATATCTCCGAAATTGTATTGCTTTTTTTAATATCCCTACAACAGAAAACCTCGTAATTCCATCCTTGCCAGTTCCGCAATAGCAGAGTACGTAACTCCAGTAGTCCGCTTACTGTTGTATACACCGCACATGTGCTCCTCAAATGTATGCGATTATTGCAGTAAATTAAGTAATTTATTGTATAAGTGAACTTTTACTAGGTGAGCTATGCTTTTGATTATTTAAAACATTAATTTATTCTTATAGTAATTGTTAAATAATGTGTAAATTCACCACATTTATGAGAATTGGAGATACGCAGTTTTCCTATAGTTTAGTTTATAGGTAAACATATTCACAGTACAGGAGTTGCTCATTTTTCCACACGTTTTACTATAGGGTCTATTATTACAGAAGATGTCCCGTCGAATAGATAAAATATTTAAAGCATTGCATAATGACAGAAATAGTATCATTCTCCAAGAAAGTACAGATACTAATTCAACACCGCCTGCAACAATATAATAATATAATGTCTCACTTCAGCGACCAGATACTTTTACAGATATTGGGGTAATTTTTGATCCCGGATTGACCTTTATATGTCACATAGATAAAATGATTGAAAAATCGTATGTATGGTTTTATAACTCGCTGCACCAGGGATTTCAAAGATGTAGCCACATTAAAAACGTTATATTACTCTCTTATAAGATCAAAGCTTGAGTATGCGTCTGTCGTCTGGAGTCCATTTTACCAACTTCACACGGATCGAATTGAAGCAGTTCAAAGGCGGTTTCTAAAATTACTGTGTTTAAAGGAGGACGGTGTTTATCCGCCAATCGGAATACCAAACCAAAATATTCTTCAAAGATATCACTTTTTAAGCCTCATAAAAAGACGTGAATACTATTGTTATGTGTTAGGTTTTAAAATTGTTAACAGTTTAATTGATTCTCCTGAACTGTTGAGAAAAATTGATATCTGCATTCCGAGAGTATCCTCTAGAAATTCTAACATATGTCACATATCTGTACCTCGCACAAATGTTCTGAAAAATTCTCCATTTCATACTATTTGCCGCGTTGTGAATAGTGTGAGTAGTGACATTGATATCTTCTCATGCAAACTCAGGGAAATAAAATGTCATTTCCTAACATAAAAAAAAAATTGTATTGTATTGTATTGTATTTTACCTACTAGCTGTTTACTAATTTTAGTATATTTTGTACCACTTAGTCTATATAATGTATGTGTTCTTTTATTCCTGCTCTGTAATTGGAAGTGCCTGTAGAGCATTGTAATAAATAAATAAATAAATAAATAAATAAATATTAAATCAAATAAGTGGTTATGAAAATATTGATGCAGCTGCTACAATTATACAAGACGCAGAAATATTATTTGTAGATAGTGAAGGTAAATTCTGTTATTATTCTGTTTTATCAAGATTCAGTTTATGTCATGATATGAAATAAATGTATATTTTGGAATAATCTATTATCTTTAATCAAGGACAATGGGATGAAGACCTCAATGAAATATTTTTTTTTTGAAAACCTACTGGATCCTTCTTTTTCTGCCATCACTGAAGAACCTAACAAAAAAGACCCCGATTTTCAACTAAGTCCAGAAGATACTGACAGTTCTGAATCGCATGAAAACATTTCGAATGTGCAAAATGATAAACTAAATGCAGATGATCCTCAAGAAGAAAGCCTAAAAAGGAAACGGTCTATAAAATACGAAATGGATAATAATCGATGGGAAAAGAACAAAAACTGTTTAAATAGAGAAAAGGGAAAGTATTATAAATGAAAGAAAAATGAGAATGGAAAATGGAGGTACGACTTACTGAAAGAACCAAGAATTATGAAAGGAAGTTGCAATTGTAAGTTAAGTCGAAATAAAAAATCCTCCCTAATGTGCACTAGAATTAGTGAACATGAGAGAAAAAGAATTTTCGAGGAGTCCTGGCAATGTACGTGGTCAAAAAAGAAGATGTTTGTAAAAAACCATGTATGTGTACAGAAAACATCTAGAAAACGAGGTCTCAAGGAAGTGTCAAGAAGAATTTATTCGAATACATTATTTTTAGGTTCCCCTAGAATGGGAATTTGTAAACCGATGTTTCTAAATACACTTGGCGTAAAGGAATGGGTTATAAAAAAATGGGCTAAGAGCGGACTAGAAGAGAATGACGTGGCCGTGCAAAATCAACAGAATTCTGCTATTAATAATGGTGTGAAACAGCTTCAAATATTCTACAATTCTCTACCAAAAATAGAGTCCCATTATAGTAGAGCAACAACCTCAAAACTTTACTTGGAACCAATGTGGACCAGCAAAAAATTGTACAAATTCTACAAATCCAATTTTTGCAAAAATCAGAACCAAGAAGCTGTATCGATAGCCACTTTTCACAAATAATTTAAAAAAAATAAACTTTCCCTATATAGACCAAAGAAGGATCTTTGTGATATTTGCGTATTATTTCAAACAGGGAATATTTCGGAAGATGACTATAATGAACATACCAAATTTAAGGATGAAGCAAGAGCCAAAAAAAATTACGATAAACAATCACAGAATGGTGTATTTACCATGGATCTCCAATCGGTTTTACTTTGCCCGAAATCAAATGTACCATCACTCTAATATAAAACATTAAGTACAACTCATCAAATTTCTAGAGGCTTTCGACGGCTAGACAGAGAAAGCACTACTGACAGGCATCCCGACGGATTTACGCAATGAAAGTACACTCTGCGCATCAAGTATTTCACTATTTCATTCAGACGTAAATGTCAGATGTAAATTTCGCTAAAACATTTCTTTTATTTTCGTTTGTGTTTTTTGCTCATTACAGTTTAATAGAACCTAAGTATGAAGTTTAATAGCAAATTAAGAGGCCGCGTGATTAACAGTCAATCTCGCGAAATAATAGCCAATGTTATAGAGTTTATGAGAAGAGAAGGAAACTTTAATTCACCTTCAATACCATTTAAAAATGTAAATGATCGTGTTGCTGCAGCCACAGGAGTATCTAAAAACACTGTCGTCCGCATTTCTGGAGAGAAAAAAAGAATCGATAACCGTGAGATATCGGAATTTTCATCACCAAGAAAAACCATTAAAAAACCAAAAACAGTTAATGATATAGATGAAGCTGCACAAGAATCAAATTTTATTTTTTTATTATTAGATAGCTATTTTTGTTTCTGAGTTGTGTTCATTAACAGGCTCAATTTTTTTCCGTTTCTCCTTTTTGATTTTATATGGGGTTTCAAGTTGTTTTTGACTTATTTCGACGTAAATCACAACAACACACTTTTTTAATAAAGCAAACAAGTGTTAAGAGGTATATGTACGTGTAAACTACAATTACAAAAAATTGATATGAAACCCATGAAACCACCAACAAAAATGTAAAGCTAGCTTCTGTACTAGAACATGGTGTCATTCGTTGAGATAATTTATCGTTTTGTTTAATAGATCAAGAAATGTAAATATTCCCCTGTTATTTTTTATAAAATTATAAGAGAAATAAATTTTTTTCTAAATAGTATAGTTTATTATTTTGTAGAAAAACAAAATTTCGAAAATTTTAGTAATGTTTCAGAAACAACCGTTATTAATAATAGGTACCATTTTCCTTAATAAGGTGGAAATAAAATATAAACTATTTCCACGATTTACAAAGGCCTACAAAAAAATTATAGGTATTTTACGCTATCCTATAAAATTTATATTTTCTGACTCAATTTCAAAAGGTTGAAGGAATTCCAAAACACCTTTTATGGCATAATAATTATTTTCAATTCTACATACTATCTTTAGCTGCTTTTAAAAACGTTCTAAGAAAGTCCAATCAGACCAATTTAATCCCTAAACTATTCCACACTTTTAAAATTTAATTACCTAAAAATATTAAAAACTATTTAAAATAACTTGTTTAGCAGACTGTACAATAGCTATCTTAGTCACACGTAGCGCGTTCTCTGTCTGGGCGTCGAACACCTCTAGAAATTTGATGAACTGTATAAGGGGTTAAAGAAAAGGTCCTTTATTTCTCACAAGTCAATTTTAATTGGCGACCGGTTTCGAAGCTATTACTTCATCATCAGGCACACCTAAATGGAATGTCAAGGAGTCAGTTGTAATAAAAACAATTATAAAAGTATGAACGGACATTAACATATACAAAATAACAGAAAAAACAAACGAAAATTAAATAATTACCTTGACTCACCTTGACTATTTCCATAAAGGAAGTGCTACATAAAGTTAAACAAACGAGTTAAAAAAGTCATGTAATACCTACAATAGTATTTTTTAAAAAATAGTTTTAGGTTAGGTTAAACCGCGAGATGTTTGATTGAATAAATTAATAATTAAAACACATGTAAGACAATTATTAACTAAACAACACAAAATAGTTTTTACAAGCACAAACAGTTAAAAAATTTTAAAGAATATAACCTTAATTACAAATGAAAAGTAAAAATGAGATTATCAGACTCCCATGACATCTATCTAGATTTTAACGAATTAGTGCAGTAAACTGTAAATTTTAAATTTAGCGGATAAATAGTGTACTAAAAAATGTGTTATTTACTGAAAGTGAGTATAGGTGGCGGTGGCACAATTTATTGATAGTAAAAATATTAAATTGGGAATGAGAAAGTAAAAAGTACTAATAAGAAAAATAGAACACTAAACAAGAAAATATGAAAATTCATATGTAAAAGTGAAAATTGAAGCAGATAATCAAAAGAAAAATTACTGTTACAGGAAAACGGAAACTAAGATGACAAGTACGAATTTCAAAAAAGAAAAGTCAAATTTTGGCGTATGACAACCAAGTGGGAGAATTTGAATAAGCGAATTAAAGAAAGCATTTAATATAAAAGATGCGAGTAGGCAAAAATTAATGGAAACAGAGAAGAAAATCTAAATTGGGAGAGAGTTCATTAATTTGTGGTAAGTAACTAATTGAAGATCAAATGAGTGGGGGTACAGGTCAGAAATTAATTTAAATAAGAGCAGAAAACGTTGGGGTACTAATAAATCGAATTTGTGCATTCAGAGAGCAAGAGGGACCAGATTTAATATTTTTTTAAATTTCCAGGTTCTCAAAGTTATTCAGAAGGAATTTATTAGAAGTCATATGCAAAATGTCGAAGCCAATGCTAGAATCAAAATCGTGACCAGTGTCTAACAAATGAGCAGTAAAGTGAGAAAAAAAAAACCAGTAGTGTTAGTGTTAAGACAGCGTGTGTGCTCTTTCAGGCGTATTTTAAAATTACGAAAGGTCCTTCCCACATATGAGCATGGACAGTTTAAACAAGTTAGTTTGTAAACACCAGACTGATACATAGGATCAGTTTTATCCTTATTCCTAACAAAGAGGCTACTGATGGAGTTGGACGTTCTTAAGCTAATTCTGAAGGAATCTTTGAACAAGTTGGCTATACGATATGAGAATTTTCCAATAAAAGTAAGTGAAACATACTAACGATTATCTGCTTCAATATTGAGAAGGGGGTTAATTATGTAACTATTGTTCTAATTACGTTTATTCTGTTTGCTATGAAGCATTTTTTCTATTAAGTTCTGATCATAATTGTGACTATTAGTAATTTGTTTGATAACATTGAGTTCTTTATTAAAGTTATCTACTGATAGAGGTACTTTCAGAAGACGTTCTAAGTAACAATTAAAAGCTGCTAACTTATGTGTAATTGGGTGATTGGATAAATTGTCAATAACAACCCCTGTGTGAGTAGGTTTTCTAAATATGTTAAATTCCAACTTAAGATCTTTACAATGGGATATAGTTAAAGCTGAGCAAAAAGGATTGTTGTTTAATATATTGTTATTTTCAATTTAGATTTTCTTCTCTGTTTCCATTAATTTTTGCCCACTCGCATATTTCATATTAAATGCTTCCTTTAATTGGCTTATTCAAATTCTCCCACTTGGTTGTCATACGCCAAAATTTGACTTTTCTTTTTTGACATTCGTACTTGTCAACTTAGTTTCCGTTTTCCTGTAACAGTAATTTTTCTTTTGATTATCTGCTTCAATTTTCACTTTTACATATGAATTTTCATATTTTCTTGTTTAGTGTTCTATTTTTCTTATTAGTACTTTTTACTTTCTCATTCCCAATTTAATATTTTTACTATCAATAAATTGTGCCACCGCCACCTATACTCACTTTCAGTAAATAATACCTTTTTTAGTACACTATTTATCCGCCAAATTTAAAATTTACAGTTTACTGCACTAATTCGTTAAAATCTAGATAGATGTCATGGGAGTCTGATAATCTCATTTTTACTTTTCATTTGTAATTAACGTTATATTCTTTAAATTTTTTTATCTGTTTGTGCTTGTAAAAACTATTTTGTGTTGTTTAGTTAATAATTGTCTTACATGTGTTTTAATTATTAATTTATTCAATCAGACATTTCGCGGTTTAACCTAACCTAAAAATATTTTAAAAAAAATACTATTGTAGGTATTACATGACTTTTTTAATTGTTTTTATTACAAATGACTCCTTGACATTCCATTTAGGTGTGCCTGATGATAAAGTAATAGCTTCGAAACCGGTCGCCAATTAAAATTGACTTGTGAGAAATAAAGGACCTTTTCTTTAACCCCTTATACTTAATCCCTGCTACTCACATATGGCTACCCTCACTCCAAATCATATTATAAAACAAAATTGATTGTGCATAATTTCACAGTTTATGATATTAAATGCCAAAAAGGATTCTGCTACTTATGGAATGAG